CCTGCAATTGCTGAGACATGAGAAACATTCTTTCAGATCTGTCTCATTTACAGAAGGGTAGGAAGAGGGACAAACATTCTCACAGAGTGTTATCTACAGCGCTCGGCAAAGTCAATGACTTAAGTCAGTTAGAGAATTATTAGTAGATCAAAACTAGCTACGCATGTAGCTAAAAACGTCTGTCAGACACTCGGGAAAGGTCAGTAGATGCTCAGCAGGAGAGTGCAAAGGCGAGTTTAGAGAGAGAACCCCGTACCGAGAGCCAGCTCGAACTGCAGATACTGGTTTTCCTGTTATCAACAGCCTCGTTTCACAACTGGTACTATCAGAGTTTGGAGGTTTGGAACAGCTGAGCATTAAATGCTGGTTTACATAACTGTGCACAGTATTCCCTCCATGTGACAATTAATCTCAACATTTCAGAGCAAATATAGAAGACAGAATGACCAAGATTCTCTCTCTTTGCTTCTTACCGTTCTAAACTCTGTCATCTTCAAACTCATCTATTTCAAGAAGAAATGTCGATTTTGCACGGTGCAAACACAGTAAAAAAATAACAAGTCTGAAATTCGAGATTTTCTACTAACAGCACAATGTAAAGCCAGTGAGAATCGGCGTATTTCCTTTTTACAATGGCCAGATCTGTCTCCACCATGAGGCAGAAACCTTTTGAATCAGGAAATTCCGCAGGTTTTCCTATCAGAGAATCACAGAATGGTTTGGGTGGGAAGGGACCTTAAAGCCCACCCAGTCCCACCCCCTGCCACGGGCAGGGACACCTTCCACTCGACCAGGTTGCTCCAAGCCTCATCCAGCCTCGCCTTGGACACTTCCAGGGAGGGGGCATCCACAGCTTCTCTGGGCAACCTGTCCCAGTGCCTCCCCACCCTCTGCGGGAAGAACTTCTTCCTGATATCTAATCTAAACCTCCCCACTTGCAATTTAAACCCATTACCCCTTGTCCTGTCGCTACAGGCCCTTGTACAAAGTCCCCCCCCAGCTTCCTTGTAGCCCCTTCAGGCACTGGACATCATCTCCATACACTTGGCAGCAACGTGCTTTGAGCAAAGCCTAGTCACAGGGCTCCTCTTCTGATTCTCCGAGGTGACGACTCCTGAAGTACTACTGATAGAAGTAAGATTTTTCTTCTTAACCCCCTTGCACGTCCAAGATCGTACAATTATTTTTTGTACGGATCATTCCAGGAAACAGATCGCTGGGCAAAATCAAGACGATATGCCACGCAGTTTTGGGTAAACTCTTTTACCTACACACTTTGAGAGAAATCTTACTTACAATCGCTCAGCGTGGCAGAAGCCTTCTTTTCCTTTCCCCACTATGTTCCCTCAGCAAGGATATGTAGCTTCCTCTAAAAGTAATTGAGAGAACAGGATTTGACCAGATTGGTCCACTCTCTTCGCGTAATTTAAATCACTGAATGTTTGCTGGTTTTCACATGCCCAAACAACCTCCGTGTTGCGCAGGAGAGAGACAAAAGTTTCACGGCCAAAAATTTTTGGGAAGTTAGTGAGCTGAGGAACAGCACAGGGAAGGGAAAAATAAGATGCCTACCTCTGTGGAAAGCCTTATTTTCCTTACTCTTAGCCACAGAAATGCAAAGAACAAAAAAAGTGGTGTGAAAAGATCCTAAAGGTGGGAAAAGCTACTGAGACTGATAAAACACTCTTTATCCTCCTAAGTCCTGAGCAGAATTTCTTCCCTCCCCTTTCCTACGGGAGCTGTGTTTGGCAGTTAACGGACACCAAATGGCACAGTTTGCTGTTTTGATATGAAAAAAAGGGAAAAAACCCTCATATTTGGAAGTAATCTAAATCTATTTCTACACCTTAATGCCTAGATTCCTGAAGATCAGGCAGATACACTCCAGGTTATCTCATTCTATGTAATGACTGGCCCAACATCTTTCCCAAATCACAGAACCTTTTAGGTTGGAAACGACACTTCAGACCATCAAGTCAGTTCTTAACAAGCATCTTTCCGATTAAACAGCAGACACAAAAGCGTAACACGCTTGCTAGACAGAGAAAACACGTAAATCTTTAGGAAAAGGGGTCTGGTTGGTGTCATGTAAACTGAAAATATTAACTATTTAATTTATTGTACAGAAAATTGTCAGAAACCGGTGAAGAAGAACACTGCTCACTTAAATCACACCATGGTGATCCTGTGGAATGCTGACTGGGGCTTCTCTGTCAGTCAATAAGGTAACAGTGAAAAAGATCAAAAGGCAGGATTTCTTCTCTTTTGGGTTGCTTGTAACAAAGTGAGTCACAGGCAAGGATCTGGGATAACGTGGTGCCTGCCAGCTGCCTGAGAAGGAAGGATCTTCTCCATTCAATACAGAGAAGTCTTCTTGGACTCGAACAGACCTCTGCTTACCTTCAAGATTTTAATGATGCACTTTACTCGCATTTTGCTCGTGATTTGGGTGGATTTTAGGAGTTCTCTGCACTGCACTCGAATGCATTTCCTGGAGCTCTGGTATCAGACGCACTTAGGAAAGCATACCTGGAGCTTCAAGGTCTGATGAAACACGAACCTCTCCTCTCCTCTGCCAGCATTAAGGGGTTCATGCTTGGATGCATCAAGCACAGGATTTTAAACCCCACCACTCTGATAAGCAACCGAAGATCTCACAATCAGAATATATTTGGGTTACGGGTTTGCGAGATCTGACGGCTGTGGATCACTACCACTCTTTTTGCTTTCAAGACAGTTTTATTTCTTCAGTGTGACTTCCTTCAACCCCTGCTATCACTGTTCATTCCGAAACAACCCACAGCAGGTTCATTTTCTGGCAAAACCTAACAAGCAAGCAAGATGAAAAGTGACATCGGGGCCTGCCCTCTGACTCCAGGTGGTCAAAGCTATTTCCCGGTGGTCAAAGTCAACGCGGGGGTCTCCAAACACCATCCCACCCCTGTGCTTCTTGCTTGGGCAATGAGGAGTCTCTAACGC